AGATCTCTTCTATCATCTAAATTACATTACATCACATTATTTCTGTTTGTCTTTAAATGTGAAGCCCTTAATTGAAAAGCATTTAAGAGCATGAATTTACGTTGCAAGCTTGCCAGCTGTTTTACTTGAGGCTTTGGGAAAACACAAGTTTGTCCACACTGCAAGGCTTGGAATAAACATGTAACAACAATCTACAAACAAATCCAAAGCTTGCCTCAATTATCCTTTGGGCCAAATTTTAATTTCTATCTTTTCAAATCTTATTTCAACTTCAAGTTTTTTTTGTTTGAGTTGATTCTTTCAGTTAAATTCGCTTTCACTTAAAGGTTTTATTCTTTGTTTATTTGTAGTTTTTAAATCGTTTTGCATGACCAACCCCGGGAATTTTGGTGAAAATGTCACACACAAATTTATGGGTTGGCTTGGTGTAGACACAAACTCAACATTGTGGATCCTGAAAGAGGCAGAGAAGCCAACCACATGGGCGCACCCATTTGGCCGGGCCACAAGTGAACTGCAGGAAGTGATGCGGCAAGCGATCAAACATGCACTTGCCAGCATTGTAGGCTCCTTTTAGACTGGACCGGCCCTTGACTGGACACCACTGCTAAGCACTGAGAATGGAAACCTGGACAGAAAGGGGCAGTTATAGAAAAGGGAATAAAGAGATTGTGCCATATATATATATTATTATATAAAATAAATAAATAATAAATAAAAGAAGGACAACCCACCAATCTGCAGGGGGTCTTTGACAGCTCTGATCCTGTAGAGCTGCTCTCCACGTTGGAATTCATCTGGACTCCCATTAGCCAGGCAGGAATATAACCTGCAGCAGGAGGAGGACAGAGACAGATGGAGAGGTGAAGGGATGATAAATAAATTAGTAAGCAAATCACAGAACTGAGTATATCTACACTGTTGAGTTTTGTTTATCTATCTCTATTTTGTAAGGTTTTTCAGGGTTTGTGGTGGGTTGGAGCCTATCCCATCCCTTCCATCCAAACTGGCCTAAAGGTCAAAGTTTCCTATGTCTCCTTCTGGACACTCGTACTATCTAAAAAAGTCAACTTCCCACACAGAAATACCACCTGTTGCTTTCTGAAAAATCTGATTTCTAAGCATCGCAAATCTAGAGAAACTGTGGACAATAATTTTTCTTCACACTATGTGATTTTAGCCCTGATTTTCAAATCGGCAACTATTTTGGGAGACTGTAGACAAATGCCCCCAGATCTGCTGGCCCAGGTAAGGAAGATTACGTTGTGTGCAGTGTTAAACGACAGAGCTTGCTGATGCCAGAAAAATATCTTGCAGGCTAAATATCTGGTTGGGGTGGAGACAAGCGAGGGAGCCATGCAACGTGCTACAGCCAGTGAGAGCAGGAAGCAGTGAACTGGTAGTTACTTTGGTTATGGATAAAAAAACTCCTCAGATACCAACACACACTAGATAGACAGTGAAGTAACAGTGTTGTGAGTCAGTGTAGTGAGAAATCTTTAATTTTTGACATAATGTTCTTGTTATAATGGCGTTATTAATGACTCCTGATCAAATGATGAGACCAGACAGACTGGTTGTGAAAGATCTTGTAGTGTGTGACCCCCGGTTGCTGATCGTGTGAAAACCACAACAACTTCCAGGTCTGCTGGTTACAAGACAGAAAATTGTGTAGTATGAACTTTGAAAAGTCATGTGGTGTGACCAAGGCTTTACGTGTGATGAAACTGAGAGCAGTCAGTGTTTAAAATGTGTCTTATTTTAACATTACACAAACGTAACTTTTCTTCTTTGCCACGAGTTGTCTGTGGACATGTTTTCTGATCAGGTGCTTCACCATATTGCTTACGGAGTTTGCTGGTGTTAACCTCAACAATCACATGAGTCAACTGCAACTGTAACAAGATACACTTTTTCTTATTTTGAAACCATTCCTTGAAAATACAGCAAAAGCAGTAAAATCGTCGCAAGTCAGTAAAGTCAATAATTTTTGTCTGACATCATGACATGATGTATTTTCTAGGACAAATTAAACATAAACTTATGAAAGGGAAGCTTTTGTCAGCAGACATGTTGTATAGCACACAGAAGCAGCTCTGGCTGATTAAAATCACCATTATCATGATGGTCAGTCAATATTCTAGTTACATAGACTGACGTATTATGCAAAGTGTCAAACTGCACTACACACACTTTTAGAAATGAGTTTTGGATTACCACATGAAACTCATTAGAAAGAGCTTAAAAATAAACATAACATATAGATACAAGAATATTGGACAGCATAGTTGAAAATAGTCAAATCTGCACACAGACTCAAACCACATTTTGTTGTTTGATATTAGTTTTTTCTTTTCATTGATTATCACAAGAAGCTCTCGTCTCTTACTAAACATCTCATAGCTGGCAGGGTATTAGAAAATTGTTTTCTCTTCCACTAGCAATAGTTGGCACATCCCTAATGAGAGGTTATCAGTGTTCTCACCTGATGTCCTCCTCATTCTCGGGGAAGCTCCAGTAGGCAATGCGGAGCTGGAGCTGTTCTGGGACAGGGGGGTAGACCTTCTCCACCACCTCAAATGGGATGTGGAACGCTACCTGCTTCGCTGACAGCTCCACCAGTGGAATCACCTGGCCATCTGGGGAAGAGCACAGAAGAGAGGAAGATCAGCTCAGACAGTCAGGTGCATTTATGCATTTATCCTTCACTCTAGTAGGGCAAACAGTCAGTCAAAATAGTATTGAAATTGCAATATAGCCAAGTGCAATATCCAAATCATAGAAGCTGCAGTTTTTTGATAAAGGTAAAATGTTAAAACAGCATTATAATGAAGTACTGTAGTTCTATAGAGATGCCCTGGCATATAAATCTTCTCCAGATTTAAGAAAACATGTTTGTTTGGTATAGACCCCATGCAATGTCACATTATCATGAATGTAATAGTGTTGATGAAAATTAAATTATCATTCCCACTAATCATAAAGCAATTCCGTCAAAATAATCGCAATAGGATTTTATTTACCATATTCTGCAGCCCTACACTGTAGTATCGCAGTATTGAAGGCTGCAGGTTGGATGACCTCGACCAGCTGGCAAAAAGTATTATTAAATTAAAATTATATATTAAAGAGTAACTTAACAGCAGGCTAAACAGCAGTGTCTTTGCCCTCTCGGGTTGAACGTTTCAGTCCGTTTCCACTCTGGAACAGGTAATCAGAAGTGTGCTCTGCTATATTTCCTTTTGTGATATAGCATTGATTCTTAAAAACACTATTCATTTTTTTGTTTAAACACCCTTATCTTTTTTGAGGGAGAGAGTGTTTACACACACTGCTGTCTAGTGGTTTAATCCATACAGTGTTTTTGAGAATCAATTCAATATCTCAAAACAAAATATTTTGATACATTATTTTTGGACATTTTCTTACAGCCCTAAGCATCATAGTGCTTACATCTGCACCAGCCTTTGGACACAAAATTCTGGGCTAAATGTGAGCGGAAACACTGAAATGGCAAATCAAGTTTCAATGTTTTTCTACACATTGGGATGATCCAAAGCAGAAACTGCAACAAAGCAAGAATGACAATGATAATTCTCATTTTACTATAAGGTATGAAATATTAATGACACAAAGCTGTGACCTATGAAGAAATCAAATCTAACAGTGTGTGTGTGCCTACAGAAGAAAGGGCAGCATAAGCACAATGACAGGAGTCTTATTGAGAGCGCAGTGGTCTGCCACAGAGAAGAAAAAGTGATGGGTCTCAGATTACAGACCTCATTTCCAAGCCACTACTTGTGCTTCTGTTTACCATATATGGAGGAAAGCACTCCGTTCATATAATGCCATCCTTGGTGTGAAGGCTCAGGGGCTCATGATTACAGGCCATAAGAAACCCATCAAGACAAGCAGACTAGCATCATGCATATGTTATGCGGGTGTAAATCAGTGAGCTAAGCCACAGTGTGACAAAAAACATACAAAAGTTTTAAACCAGGTGAGGGAAATCAGAATCAGCCTTATTGGCCAAGTATGTGCACACATACAAGGAATTTGACTTGTTTTGATGCTCTCAATGTTCTTACACAGGAACAGACCGCCAACTCAGAACAAGGACAACAATGCTGAACAACAGTACAAATGAAGCCTTCAATGTTACAGACTTGGCAAATTCATTTATTACAGAATACAAAAGTAGCTAAAGCAGAAATCGGCCTTGTAAAAATATTGTAGCATTAGCTGCAGAATATGTACTGCGTGAACTTAAAAACCATTGTGAGTGTATCAAAGCTTCCATTTCCTTTCATCACACTACAGAGACTGATCTCGTTAAAGTTCTGAATTTGTCTAGAAACTAATTCAGGCATCATCTCAGTCCTAATCCTACTGAATAGAAGTGCTGCCTTACTAGACATAACTACTATCAAGTGGAAAACTGGGTTGGACTCTCAGACACAGTTCTACAGTGGATCAGGTCTTATCTCCAGACAGAAGCTATTATGTCTCGCTTGGCAGCCCGACTTGCAAGATCAGAATCAGGCGAGAATCCATCTTGGTGTTATAGAGGAAAATGTTAGAGCTTTCAGGGAGCGGGTAGTCTAACGCTGCGTTAGCTAACTGTCAGTAAACATATACAGCGAGGCTGTATATGTTTACTGACAGTTAGCCAATTTGTAAGTGATCAACGTGATCCTAACTTACCATACTCTGGGTATTTTCTTTTCAATCCCAGTTCCACCATCCTCTTTCCCCTGATAGGTCCATCTCTAACAGACTAGCTGTGTGAGGTTAGATGGCAGAGACTGAAATCAGCTGCTAGAATCCCAAAGCAGCCCGCAGTAACCAAATGTTAGGACTACAACTTTTAAAGTTGGACAAAGACGGACGAGGGGCATAGATGCTGCTAGCATCAGTTCTATCAGAACTGGATAGTATTTCTTTATTGAAATAAGAGCAAAGAACAGCATCGGAGGATTTTCTCCATCGGAAACGAGTCAGACTACAATTGGACGTGTGGAGTTCACCAAGGCCTAATCTTTGGGCCCTGAGTATTAATTGCTCCTATTTGGCAAAATCATATAAAAATAAGCATGAAATGATCTAATTTAAATTGCCTTCTTATAATAGTTGTGAACTGTTTTTCACTGTGTTAAAACCGCTACATCAACATAATGCTTCCTGTTATTCACCCAAGCAGCCTTAATTGGCAAGTATACTTCATTAGAAGTGCTTGTCAGATGGCTTTAGAAACCCCTTCCCTGGACACCTTTCCCTACCATTTCTGTAATTCTCCAAAACCAACCATGCAACATTCACACCCAAGTCACACCGTGATTGTTTTTTTTTTTTCTTCTTTTTTGTTTTTACACTATTTGTGGCGATTTTGTGTGTACAACAGAGCACATATGAAACACATTATGAATGCCATCCTGGAGAGACTGTGACAAATGTGCAACCTTATCGCCATTTTTAAATGATATTGTTCCTCCCCCTCTCTGTGACAGCCAGCTTTTCACTCAACGGTGTTCGGAGTGTGTTCGTTCGTAACAACTATAAACACTTTCAGCAGTGGTTAAAATGCCAAATAATGAAAGTAATAAACAACCAAGGATAAAGTGACATCTGAGTATGGTCTTCCATAAGGAGAAGAGAGATTAGTCTGACAGACAGTCCTGAGTGGACATCAGCTGATATACTCTCTCCAAGAGCCTTAGGAGGAGAACCTTTATAGAGCCACAAGCCAAACTGATAGCTTGCCTTTCACCAGAACATTTATCTTGAAACACTACTAAACAAGTGAATATGTTCTTATTTATGCATTTCACTTTCTGCTGTTAAAATTAACCCATTACAAAGTTTTTACTCTCAGTTCATTTGTGTTTTTCACAGTTAAATTCAGTTAACAACATTTTAGTATATATGTGCTACAGTCTTGTATTTCTAAAGTGGTTATAGTTTAAGTGATTCAAGAAATAAATGCCAGCAACAATTACTAACTTTCTTGCAAAATAGGATAGTACATATTTTTTCAAGCCTACAACTACCACTGACTACTACTCCTTCTGCTGTCACTAATAATACTACTACTGTTGCATTGCTATGAACTTCTCTTTTTCCTCTCAAAAAGAAAAAAACTGCAGCCTGACTGATCCCCTTGACGCCATAATTCAATTCCTGCAAAATCGTCCATTTAAAATGCGTTTAAAATGATAAGAGTGTGCCATCAACATGTGAATGCTGTTTATTACATCACAGCACTAGTATGTAGTAGAAACTGGGACAGTGCGACTCTCTAACAGTACAGAGCTAAACCCTGAAGAGAGAGAGAGGTGGCTGGGTAGTAACAGAGTTCATGTTGCCAGCCTATGATTGGCTGTGGCAGGTGAATGACAGCAAGCTGTCTGCCAATCCGCTGCTAGCACAGGGGGAAGCCACTTCAACAGCTGTTCGTTAGGAGCTAGCTGGTGAAGAGCTTAGGACACATTCACTCTTTTCACTGGGTCACTTGTTGTCTCACTGCCGTCCTCATTTCCCCCCTCTGCGTATTTCTCTCCACAGGGTGCACTTCATTAGTACGCTGACATACACCTATAGTGTGCCGGGTGGGATATTCTGCTCACTATTTAAAAACTGCTCCTGTTGTTACACACACACCAGATCCTCTGCTTTGTTTAAGTGGCCACTTAGCCGATACAAAAAACCCCAAACAGGTTAGGTATTGGTGCCACTCTACAAAGCCATCCTTAGTTGATTAATAATTATTGATTGAACTTTATTTTGGTCTGTAAATTCTTAAAATAAATAGATGAATAAAGCTGGATTATGCTGCCAAAAGCAGCTCAATGAATGGCTAGTTATACTGACTGTGCCATGCTGTCTTTATGTCTGTCCTCTCACCGGTAAAGGTTTCCTCCTCCATTTCAAACCTCTGCCTTGGTGGGAGAAAATAGAGTTAACCCATTCTTTTCAAGGGAAGAGTTTGGTTAGAAACTATACTTCCATGGCAAATTTCAGACATAATTCTTAGTAAATTCAAGACTTTGCTATCTCAGACTCAGAATTTTTTTAATTGACCATCTATGGGCATGTGGCTCAGAGGTAGAGCGGGTCGTCCCCCAATCGGAAGGTTGTTGGTTGTGGAGCAGAAGATGTAGAACAGGAGTTGTTGGTTCGATCCCCGGCTCCTCCTGGCATGTGTCGAAGTATCCTTGAGCAAGATACTGAACCCCAAATTGCTCCTGATGCATAGCATCAGTGTGTGAATGTGTATGAATGTGTTAGTTTCTGTGGACTTTGCACATCGCTGTGTGAATGTGTGCGTGAAAGGGCTTGAATGTGGCGCACGGTAGTCCGTAACAGCCGCTTTGAGTGGCTCCAGGGAAGACTAGAAGGCGCTATACAAGTACAGACCATTTACCATTTACCATATATTGTTTAAATAGCCATATAATAGAACAATATTGCCGACGACTTACATATACAACTGCGATGTAACAGGAAAGGATAAAAACAGAGATAATGGAAACAGAGGACAGTGCAACGCATAGCAACTGTGTTTCTGACTCTGGTGCTCTCAGCTCTGGTGTGTTACACTAAATGCATCCACGTTGGCTAAACTGCTGTTAAACCTCCTGTT